TGCGTTTTTGGTGTTGCTGTCATGCTGTTTTTCTTCAAGTGAGGATGCTTAAAAATAGCCTTTTTGCTAGTCAAAACCTGTGGCCTGATCTGGGTTACATGCAGGAGACGGTTTATAGAAAGACTTGATTTGCCTCTTTTTTTCCCTCCGTCTTTCTGTTTTACCTACCAGATCTTAAATTAAAAACATTAGGAAGGTAGAATTACCAATATCTGAGTCAACAATTATCAGCAGTAGTACAACAAAAAAATCCAGACTCACAACAAAAAAACCCACCTTGATACTTTCTCAAACTTGCCCACAAGTTAAAACAAATGCAGTTTCCACATCTTGGCAATGCTTGTATGAAAACAAACTGAATGTGTGTTGGCAAGTAATGTCTGCTGGACTTCAGGTCAAGAGGTCTCTTCAAATAAGCTAAGACACCAACTGTGAAACAAAATGTAAGAAATTAAAAAGGGTTAAAGAATTGGATTACTGTTCTTCTGAGTAATGGCAGGAGTTAATCTGTATTCCTTTTGCTGTTGAACGAGAACTCAGAGGAGTAAGCAGAGGTGGCAGGAAGAAAATGGAAGTGTTATGTCACAATGCCAGAAGTGATGCTTTGCAGCAGACAGAAGTACACAACCAACCTGCCTCAGAGATCATAGAATCATAGAATCATAGAATGGTTAGGGTTGGAAGGGACCTCAAAGATCATCTAGTTCCACATATTAAATAGCCAGGCATGATACAGTGTGTGAAGGAAAGCACAAGCATGGAGGAATAGAGATGTTACCATGCAGCTACTTGGTTTAATGCACAAGCATGCACTGATGGCTCTGTTAGGCCCTTAATGTACTTAAAAGAATGCCAATAAAGATCCTGGAGGTAGGGTTAAAGGGAAAATGTTAGGAAAAGCATTCTTTCTAGGAAGTCTTTCTGCAGAGAATATTAAACCTCTTGAACAAATGTTACACGATAACCACAAGCTGAGATAGGACAGAGCCTCAGGTTATGACCTAAGTGGAGCAAGCCAGCTGAGATGTAACTTTTCTACCAAAATAAGCCTTGCTGAGCTGGAGTTGGACTGGTGTAGAAGATCTAGAGGTCTCAACTACACCCAAAGCTGTGTAAGAGTGAGCATGAAGTCTGATGCCTTCTTACTCAAGAAGTAACAAGTGTGGAAACAGCAGAATGACAGAAAGGAAGAGCCTTTTATTTTCCACAGCAATTTGTTGGAGCATTGTGAGAAAACTTTGGACCAAAATTTTGAAATTCAGTTCCTTTCATCCACAAAGAAAATACAGCAAGGATGATATAAAATATCAAAGAAGAGATAAGTAATTTTGGGTAGCATTAGATAAAAATCCCATTATTTGATGGGTAAATTCAGGCATAGAGGCAAAAAATAATTTGCTTAAGATTGAACAGCAAGTCAGAAGTAGACCTGGAAACAGAAAGCAGAAGCTCAATCCACTGAACTGTGACTGTTGGGGGAACATGTTTAAAAAAACCAATTAGCTTAAGATACTTTAACAGCTGAGGTTACTTTTTATTTTCATGCTTTTATTTAAAGTGAATCATAAGTTTAAGGCTATGCAACTCCAAATTAAGGACCCAGGCACACACTTCGATAAAAACAGCAGGCAGTATATGAGACTCTTCAAGTGTCTGAATTTTACATCTCCCATCCCACTATTAAGGACCATTTGAGTGGCTGCCACCGAGAAGACGCAGTCACAAGTAACTTCAGAAGTGTTAGTAACCACATAGGCATCAAACCTTTGGGAAACTCTTTATCAGTGAGGTGGAAATAGAAGCACATTTGGTGGCCTCAATCATCTTCTTTAGAGCACAGCAAGGAGCTGACGGGGAGCACACAGTGTCTCCTCCTGGGGACTGCCTGCAGTGACGTCAGGGCCTTGAGATACTTAGAGATCTCAGCTCCATTAGTTGGATCATCTTTCATTATCTATTTTTCATGAGACACATGCAGTAGCTGTAGAGAATTCAGAATTCATCCAAGGCACTCAACCTGCAGGGTCAAGCTCTTGCTAGCACTAAGGGCTTCAAAGACACAAGCCCAATTTTTTTACCCAACCCAGGAGACTACGTATCACATGAACTTGCCACAATTGTTCTCTTTTTAGAGTGGATTTAGGGATATCCAGGGACTGATAACATCCACTAGTTCCAGTGACGCACAGACAGGGCAGACCATACCACAGAGGGACTGTGTGATCTGTCCCCAGAGAGAAGCTTATCAGCCTTCTCAATTGGCACTCCTGGGCTTCTCTCCTGGGACTTCCACCAACAGGGCTAATCAACCCTAACTGAGAGGTCGGTTTTGTGATATGAATAGGCATATACATAAAAGCTCCACATCCTGTGAGCAATGGCCCAAGACATACATTCCCCTCAAGTGTAAGCCATGTTCCACTCCGAATACATATAGGTTGCATATCTATAGCCACCCTGACCAGAGGAACAGGTGACAGGGGAGTACTGGAGACAAAGCTGCACCTACACAGCTTTCACTGCATCAAGACTCCTGCTTGAGGCTGCTGTTCTTAAGCTCTGTTCTCTTGGAATGAGCTCATTTGAATCCACCAAGGTTCAGGATTTCAAAAAGATGAATTTGCCTTTGCCTCCTGTTATAGAAAAAGAAGATTCTCCTATTAATTTTAGCTAAGAAAATCTATTGTGGTGGCCAAAACCAAGGAAAATTATATTTTTATTATAGCGGGTGAGTAGACTGGAGTATTGCAAGGAAAATGGGTCATTCCTATCTAAATGGAAGTGTCTGCTCAACATAGGATGTTTTCTCATGAAGAATCATGAACTAGCCTGACATCAATCAAAGTAATTTAATTTGCAGCTAAATAAGATTTAGGTGTGGCTTTCCTGAGGCAGACCTTGTCTTTCAGAGAGACTTCGCTCCTGCTTAGTGATAATACTGCAATTTAAAATAACACCAGATGACAATTACGCCCCTACCTTGGTCATGTCAAGTACCGCCGTGCACGAAGTCAAACCAGCCCAAACTGTAGCTCATGTTATGCTGATGTTTTGTGACCTTTCTTTTTGCAGCAGAGTGCATGTAAGTACCCAGAGGAAAAGAGAAATAAGCATTTAATTCTAAGGAAGGGCACATAGCATGGATGAAACTTGAAGGAAAACAGATGCAAATCCTGGTTTGAAATTACTGAGCAAATCAGTACAAGCATTAACGTTGCATATATATTAATGTTTTGACGATAACTTCATTCTGACCCTTAGCCCTCAAAAAACCCTTTTTTCAGTTTGCCTTTTTACAGCTACATAGCTCCCATGTATAATTGAACAGATTGCCTGGCTCGCTCCTGTGTACAGCTTAATGTTCACAATCCTCTCCCTTCTCAGCGCTTCCTGACATTCAAGGGAACATTATCTCCTCTGTTCCTAAAAAGGGAATTCCCTACAGCTAGGAGAAGGACAGACAGTCCCTAAAGGCCCTGGGGGCACCAGTTCTGCCACTTCAGCCTGCAGCTGGCTGCCTGCCAGGGTTGCAGCCTGGTGACCTGCTGTGAAACCCTGGACACTGTTGCTGGAGACACAGGGAGCAGAAGGTTAGATAATTCTGCCTTGAGCCTTGTGGGGTTTTCGCTTCTCATCTATTTTTAGCTGACCGAACAGCTGGCCTTGGAAGCCTGTTTACAGCCGGGAAAGCTTCTTTTTGCTAAACTGTACTAAGTGTAAGAGCCCTGAGAAAGCTTTAACCATTTGAGAGCCAGCCCTCAGACTGACACTCTCGTTTCCCATTGACTGCCTGAGATGAATTTATACAAGCAGAACTGAAGCATGAGGAACCACAGATTGATTCATCTTCAGCTGTATTTGTTACATCTTTGCATACCTATAGCCAACCCCCTAGTCCAACAGGAAAGATCATATGTGATATATAACCCAGGTTACTTGTATTATACAGCTGTGTGGGCTGTAATACACAAGAGAGACTTTTTTATATATGATAGGAGTCAAGCTTTGATCTCTTTTTTGGCTAATACATAGAACATTTTTCTGAACATATTAGATTGGTTTCTGTTCCACATGAGTATTTACGAAAATTGCTGTGTGCAGAGACAGAATGTTGTGCTGGTACCACAGGGTCTTAAATCCCACACAGACTGTTTGCTCTTTCACTATGTACTGCAGAGACTGTGCCTTCTAGCCTGGACTGGGGAGAGTGGACGGCCTGGAAAATAAGACCAACTTGATTTTACCGATGGATACAGCTTGCTTTCTTGCTTTGTTGCTGGTTAGATTTGGCTTGTTAATGCACATATTGCTACAAACAAAACTCTTCCTTTCTGTCATTTTCCTCTTCTGGTCTCCAGCAAGTCTTTCATGTTTTCCTAGGCTGTTATCTCTGCAGTCTTCTTCAAGGTGTAAAAATCCTTCCCCATGCAGACCTTCATATATATGGAAAACAGACATACGGGCAGTCATCTTCCAGGCTTTAACATTGCCATGGGTATCCTGTTGTTCTGATGCCCTGTAACACTTAGCTCCCACACTATAATTGAGCTGACTTTGCTGGGCTATCTAAACCTTGACATGAAAACACTTCCTATTTCTTGTCCAGCTTGCTTTCCCACAGGTTTGCCAATGTATCTCTGTCTATACCTCTACCTCCTCTGGCAAAAGCTGCATTTCCTTTCCCTTCCTCCTGTATTTCATACTGATCACTGTTGGGAACAATACACAGATTGCTCTCTTCTCACCCTGATCATATAAAATGACTATGAGATATCCATTAAAAGGTGTGCTTCCATTGCCCTTGCTGCTGTTCTACAACTTCTCCTATACTGAATACAGAGAATAACTCACATAAAGTTCTGCCACTGGTTTTGCAACTGAGACATGAAACTGGTCAGATCACGGGGATTTGGGAGTTCATGTTCTGGGACCCAACCCTGCAAATGTGAATGGACCATGTCCTGTAACAGGGATTCGTACTTTCTTTTCTCCTGCCCTAGGATCACTTTCAGAAGTTCATCCCACCAGGAGGGCATTACGGGGAAGATGCTCATGGCTATGCCCACGGGCGGATGGTAGGAGGAGTGACAGCTGGGCAGCATGGTTCCAGTAAGCAGCAGTATCCTGCTGTTCCTCCTAGGCCTGGAAGCAAAGGAGGCCCTGGGGGCAGCGAAGGGGGACATGCAGGGGAATCCGCTGGAAGTGGTGGAGAAGGAGGCGATGGTACTGAGAAAGGCAAGTATCTCTCTGCAAGAACAAGAAATAGACAAGGCTATCAGAGCTCTTGCCAACCTTACTCTTAGGGCCAAGTAAATTAGTTTGACTAAAACCTGAATTCCTCCAAAATAAGTTCCATTGCAAAGTCTGGAAATGTTGAACTGCCTTTAGCTTGATAGTTTTGTTTGCATGCCTCTGTGTTGCTCAGTCACAGGCAAGAAACAGAAATACCTGCCTTGGCTGGACCAAATAAATGATAGGAAACTTAACTACTGAGCTCCTAAGGTTGATACAGCAGTATGCCAGTATGGGATACCCTTCCCTTGCAAGGGTTTCACACTGACCACTACTGGAAATAGCAGTATTATCTCTTTAGCTCAGTAGTCTGACCTGACATATCAGTCTCGAGTATATCAGCTCTGATTTCAAAGCAAAGTTTTCACCTAAATCAACAGCACTTTTTGGATAATCTTCAAGAAGGAACAACAATATTTCTAAATGTTACCTGGTAATAATCACCAGTCTACTGAAGCAGTATCTTTATGAGTATTCATTCATTGAATTTAGACCTTGCTTAATGTTATCCTCTGTTTAGTTTGGCCAGAAACCTCCAGAACTAAATCCCTTGTATGAAAATCAGCAGGTGAAATCCTTATTTTAACAGTCCCTATGGGATTTTACAACAAAAAGGGAATTTGATTGGGAACTAGGAACGACTGTCTTAAGTGACCAAACGAGTGACTTGTAAAATCCAAGGTTTTTCATTTACATTCTGCAAAAATGTGCATTTTATATCAAAGTCAGCTTTTACATTTCTGGGCAACCCTGTGAAAAAGAAATCTGTGTAGACTCTCTGTCTTCTTATAGGAGATTTTTCTCCACTGTTATCCTATTTCTGTGTGCAGGAAGAAGGAGGATTAACATCATCCCATAGCTTTTACTGCAGAAGAGGATCCCAACTGCTTTTATTTTTCAACCCTAGCAATCAACTTACTTCTAAACTACTTAGTTTAAGTCCTTCAGACAGAAAGAGGGTGGTATGTTTTTATTTTTTTAATGAAAATGAGATTCTTGTACATGTCTGTAATTCTCAGAAACCAGGAAAGCCCAGGATTTGGCAAGGTTTGAAGAAAATAAGCAAGACAAAGAAAGAAGGTGTGATAAAGAAGAAAGTTTCATATAAGAGTAATAGCACTCATTCTTTGCCACTTACTTCACAAGGATTTTATGTTTTCGACACAAACTATAGCACCATGAAAGCAACAGAATGTCTAACTTCATTAACCTATTATTCCCATCTGCCCTAATCAAGCTAAGCAGAAGTCATTACTCAGGAGTTTTAAGGTTTCTGAAGGTTGACAATCTTAAAAGTGTGCTACATATCAATACACAACCAATGCTCTTATTAGCAAGGTGGTATTGTACACAACTGGAACAAAGAAAAGGAAAAAAAAAGAAAAAGGAGGCGCACAGAATGAAAACCCTTGTCTAAGGTAATTTGCTTAATCGAACAGCCAACAGCTAACCTAAAATTTCTGGCAATCAAGTACCTGACTTAACAGCAAAGAGCAGCTCTGTCATTGACAGGATTTTAACTTCCAGAGATACCCCATCATATTTTCAAGCCTCTTTTTCCATCCTGAGGTGTTTAAGCCAGACTTGTCTCTTAACATCCTGGCTCAGGAAGGGGAATATCTGTTCATGTACTCACAAAGAAAATGCCAACTTACAAAAATACTGAGACAAGGGAGATGCTAATTTTAGAACATTCAAGAATAGACTACTGAGGAAGACATTAATAAAGATGGTTGTCAGTTGCCAAGACCCTGAAATACGATGGTTAAAGGTTTTTGGTCAGTTAGAGCCAACTTCAAAGTTTGAGCCTAGTTGCATATGATGATGAGGAAGAGGTTTATGTGAAGGGGTTATGTCTGCTATGATCAGACAGGGAAGAGAGAAGTAAATTATGAAATTAGATAGCATTTTGCCTGGTATAAAGCTTCCCCAGAGGTAAAGACATGATGAGGTAAGGACATTGGTTCTTGGGGTAAGAGGTTTCTATTTGAGCGACCAGAGAGAACAATGAAAATTTAGCTTTCAAATATATGCTCTAATGCAAATTCCTGGATGAGTGGCTCATAGACTGGTACACCTGCTTTTGTGGATAAGGACAGAAGTGACATATGACAGTCTTTTTTAAAAGAAATCTAACCATAAAATCTCAGACTCGATCTAGGAGCTACAGAATCTGCAAAGAAAGCTGCTGTCTCGACTTCAAAGCAGAATACAGAAAGGCAATATATTTAGAGTAAGTGTCATATAACCAGAGTGTTTTACCTGCTTCTGTTTACAGATGGAAAGTCAGGAGGAAAAAAAATCACTATATTTAAAACTTACATCTCCCCCTGGGAACGAGCAATGGGCATCAGCCCCGAGGACAAAAGTCAGTTCACCATTGACTTACTGTCATACAGTCCCAAAGCTGACTTCCCCCATTACAAGTCTTTTAACCGGTAAGTCTTTTCCAATATTCCACTCAGTTCACTTAGCATGAGAAAACACAGTAACTCTGGCTATAGCCCTCCTGTCTTGTGCAATGTAACTAAGTTTTAGTTGCATGTCGTGTGGCTTAGCACAGTCTCCTGTGGATGAAACATTTGGAGGCCTATGGAAACGAGACACATTAAGAGCTAGAGTTTTTAATTCAGCTTACAGACAGAAAACCTACGCAGCAAGATAAGAGGACTTTAATCCTATTTCCCTTTCTTTCTCACCCCATTTGACCAGGGAGATTTAGCTTGCCACTGTTTATTACTGCAGCCATTTAGAGTTCAAGAGTTCAGGAAAAATACTTACGAGCAGAAGCCACATAGTTCACAGTACTTCAGAAAAGAATCAGGATCTTCCTGCTGGTTCTGATAAGAACTGAAAGTTTTACAAATATTTCTAGGGCAGCAACAATTTTCTGTTAACCTCTCTATATAATTTTGCCACCCACTTCCATAGCCCCAGGACATCAGTACCCAGGACAAGCCCAAATCCCAATCATTTCTGCAATAAAGCAGCCTCTGCCTCCTACACGTACAGGGTACCAACAGGTGTGACAGGTGTACAGTTTGATGGAGATTGATGCAACAGGGGTGAAGGAATTGCACAGGAGTAGAGGCAGAGGGGTTGTTTTTAAATCATTTTAGTACATAGGCAATGGATACTTACATGTTCTTGGGAAGGATTTTTTGGCCAGTCAACTGTAACGATGGTAAAGTTTACAATCTCGATAACTCTGATTATTTATTTTCTAAATCCTGTTGTTTACCTATGCTCTGTTTGCTAACTCCATGTATTCCCCTATGCCAGGACTGCCATGCCTTATGGGGGTTACGAGAAAGCAGCCAAACGGATGACCTTCAAAGTGCCTCAGTTTGATATTTGCCCTTTGCTTCCAGAATCTCTCATGATATATAATCAAAATTTCAGCAACAGACCCTCCTTCAACAGAACCCCAATACCTTGGATGCCTTCAGGAGACTCCTCTGAGTACCATATTGAGGTCAATGTGCCAAGGAGTGGTGAAACAGAAGAGCTGTAAATCCCCAATGCCAAGGCCTTCCTTTTTTCTCAGCCCTTTCTATTTGCAAGTTGATAGTAAGGAGCTGAAAAGTGCAACTCTAGTTCTGTCAGCCCTTCCTTTCTTTTGGTCTTAGCCCAGACAAGTTCCTCGCAGGTTCCAAACTTACCTTTGCTGTGGTGTTAATCCATATCAGGAACAGTTTGAGGGAAAGGAGCTTTTTATTCACCAGGGCATAAAAGGGCAAAACTAGGAAGTGCTTTTCTGTTTAGCAATGCTAAATGCTGCCTGTCTGCTCCATAGTAAATCTGTTTTGTCACATATTAATATGTAATAAAACACAAGAGGAAAAAAAAGCCGTTGTGTTTTCCCTTTAAAAAATGCTGCTGAATCAATTCAGGGATTAGCAATAACAGAAGTTTCAACCTCACAACTAGACCGTTAGCATGGGAGGAAAGATTGGGGACTGATGAGGACAGTCATAAGATAGGTATCCATCAAGGTAGCTTGGATAAATAATGGAAAACTGATGGTGAAGAATGATGACGTAGAGAGGAAATGATACAGGTAATCATAACAGCATCAGAGATATCATAGCAAGTCAGCCTGCCAGTGTAATAGACAGATTCAAGTATTTCACTGTCACCTAAGATTCCCCGGTTCTCCAGAGTATAAAATAGGTGATGGATTAAGCAGGGTTTTTTAAGAAGGCAATAGGTCGGGAAGGAACAGAAGCGCACCCAAGTGAGACGACTTGCCCATAGTTACAGAGCAAGAAAGAAAAAGCTTTAATTATGACAGATAAAATTTGACACCCGCCACAGTGCCTTACTTATTTGAATACACAGCATCAAAGGCTATTCCATGTCTTCTAACAGTTTTATCAATGCCATACATATAGGAAGAAAGACAGGCACTGTGGAAAACCAATAAAGAACTTTATTTTTCTACATGAAATACCTTCTGTTTCACAAACACTTTCACTCTGACACATAACATACAAGATGGCTGTTTCACTACCATACCCTAGCTCGGCCTGCATTGAGATCGGTCTGGAATTCTCTGTACTGGTGCCTTCTTTAGATGAGCATTTCCTCTTACAAACAGGGCTAAACAGCTTATTTAGAAAGACAGCTTTCATTGAAGTACTTTTAATTTAGGAGCTTTTCCTCCTTGTCTAGAAATCCCTGCAACCCTATACTTGATTTTTATTCTGCTTGGATAGTTATGAGGTTGGCTTTATCACATTCCTCTAAAAGGCTACTGCCAGGGTTACCCCGAGATCTCTTAAAAATTGTGCTAATAATAACAAGCTTCAGAAGTAATGAATGGTTTCCCAAACTGTCTGCTGAAATGGCTGAAGAACATTTATTATATGCCCTATTAAATGATTAAGAAGTATCAATAACTCAGTTCTTTGACTAAACTTAAAAACCTTAAGGTGGTAGTTTGATCTTCTGAAGAACATTTCAAAAAAAATGAAAAAGGTTGTCTTTTTTGACACGTTCCTACAAGTATTTGAAGTTTGAGCTGAAAACAAATCCTCAGAAAAACTTGTTTTGTTTCTTTGGATAAAACGGATGCAGGAATTAGTTGAAAAGACATTTCCCACATTAATTTCCTTTTTTAATGCCTACATAAATACACACAAATTTCACCGGTGAAGGACATTTAAATGGCAAATTCTCACATTCTACTAAACTACTAGTTTATTCTGTATTTGATCTCTGTCTGGAGAGAAGGTTGCTGTGGGTTTTCCAACATTTTTAATCAACCTAGCTTTTTGAATTGCATGGTAATTAAGGGGAGGAATTTCTTTTCCAGTTCGAAAAGTATTCTAACTATATTACAAGAATCCAGGCTACAAAGAGAATGCCAGAAGTTCAGAAAGACAGAAGAAATTTCAGAGAAAACTAGGTCACACTAAGCAAAATATTTTCCCATCTAATACACCATTTACTGCCTCTGCTTTTCTGACAGGGATTTTAGACGCTTGCAATACAGAATTACATTATTTTTTAATGTGAAATACATGCTGCTTTCAAGGTAAATATGTAGGAGCAGCAGGAACAAGACAGTTTGGTACCTGTATGTACTGGTCTATTTTCAGTAGCAGCTGTTCCATGGGCCAGTTAGACATGTCAAGGTGCAGAGAGGGCTGGCTGCTCTGAGGAGGGGTGAGCCCCATGCAAGCCCAGGACAGGCAGTGCCCTCACCAACCAGCACAGGAGCTCACCACATCTAAGCATGGCAGGCAGAGCTGAGTGCTGGTGACAGCGTCCATCAGATGTGGTGAGGGGATGAATCAGGCCCAGGGACCATCCAGGGAGCCTGGTCAGGAGCAAAAGGAGACAGGACTGGACACAAGCTACACTGTGGGCTCAAAGTCCATCTAGGAGACAGGCTAGCTACAGCACAGGTCTCAGGTCTACCCAGGAGACAAGAGCAGACCCCATCCCTACAACATAGCTCAGACAAGGGCCCTAGGGTCAGGACTGAGCTTAAACGGGGTTTCTGGGCTGTGAAGGTCCCAGGTAAGGCTGGTCAGGGCAACTAAGGGCTGTTGGTGCACACAAGGCAATGATACTAAAATGTTTGGGAATTCCAACATAATCACAACAATAATTTGAGTTCTACTGGAGCATTTCTGAAAAAAAGACTAAATAAAATAGGTCCTTAAACATGGAGGGAAAGGTAAGAAATGCCGTGCAGAGATAGCACAGTGCTCTCTGGTGGTGTAGTGTCAAAGCTCCCGCGTACAAGGACGGCAGCGTCAAGCAGCGAGTAGGTCAAAGCACTGGGTATGCAACACGCAAAGCTCTCTCTGGTTCATAATGTACTGTTGGACAAGAGTTTTCGTCTGTGTGCTCCATTATCCCAAACCCTAAATGGGGATAAAAAGTTGCAATGTGCTTGGCGTTAGTATTGTATAATTGCGAATTGTTAATAATATTGCTATAACTCGTAAGCTAAGAGGATCCTTCAGTTTTGGTAAATCTGCTTAATGAGGCGCACAGCTCTGCTTTTGCCAGTACACTTTCAATCTCAAATCCTGTCAAGCAGGATTTATGTGCTTTTGTTTCTAGTACAAAATGGGAAATACAACACTACATTTTGCAGAACAATTCACACTATTGGCTTGCTGTTTACATAGCTTAAAATACATGCTAGTTTAGTCATTATTCAAAGTAACGTTAAAAGTGGGGAAAATCAGTAATCCAAATTCTGCCTCAAAAATAATTAATTTCGGTGAGACTTGCAGCTACTGTAATCAGGGCAGAAGTTTGTCCAAAATTATAAAATATTTAAGAGGAAGTAAGTAACTGCTCCTGCTCTTTGTTTTCCTTGGGCTATGATGTAGACTCAGGAGAATCCCTTCTGTCAGAGAATTATTTATATTGTGAATAAGAGGATTTTATAAGATTTAATTACAGTGGATTTCCTCCACATACTAGGAACTACAGAACGGAAACTCAGTCATCTGCTTTTAAGCAGGATCATCGTAGTTAGAGATAAAAAAGAACTAACAAATTATTGAGCCCATCCTCTTGTAAAGTCAGGCTACAGTTCCCTCTTAGAGGATGTACTGAATATTAAGCTTATACTCCACGGAATAGCAGCCAAAAATCCATTTAATAGAGAGGGGCTGGCCCATGAAAAACAGATTGGATAGAATTTTGTGACGTTCAGATCTTTCATTCAGAACAAATAGTTCTTACATTTTTAATTTACAGTGTTATTCTTAGGAATATTATTTTACAGCTTCCAAGATTTGAAATGTTTCTCTCATGTAAGGCGACTTGTATGATAAAGAATCCAAGCCATACTGAAAATGTGTAAAAAATAGTGTCCATGTTTTAATGTAAAAGAAAAGTGCTTAACAAATCTCAGTAACACTGTCCGTAAATATAGAGACATATGTTTTAAAATCTTGCTTGAAGTTATAGCTGATGGCATAAACATTTGGCAGGTAGTGGCATAGTTGGTATGCTTCTCTAAGTTGCGCAGAAAGTCTTCCATTTGACTGCCATGTATTCCCTAATCAAAGGGTTTGCATCTCATAATTGTCTCTCTCATGTGAGCAGCTTGCCATTAGTGATGATTCTGATATAATTCATACAACTAACATCTGGGAATTACATTTGATGTTGTTATTGACAGAGCATTTGGAGGAGATGGCTTTGCCATTAGGCTTAGTGACTCTCAAACAAAATTTGGAACAGTTTCAGACTGTTAGGAGAATATGGGCTTTATCTCATTTGACTTTTTTTTAAATCACACAATGAACATATGAAATGTATTCACTTCTCTTATACAAGATATATATATACACTTCTGTGTATATATATATATGTATATATACACTTCTCTTATACACCAGACAGCCAAGAGCCTGAACACAATTACTCTGTTATGGAGCAGAGAGGTCTGCATGTGGCTGTCCCTCCACGGTAAGTGCTGACTTGTGGCGCAAGGCTTGAACATTCACTGCACTGAGTGTTTTTTCATACCTAGTTTGTCTGCAAGTATATGTTCTCTTCCACAGAAGACTGCCACAGGTGTGATCATCTGGCAAATGCCCCACTTCCAAGGGACTGCCCCTTGGCACAACAAGCTGCTGTTAGCTCTTCTCTGGCAACTTATGGGGTCCACTGCTGCCCATCAGCAGCACGTACACTAATTTCTCTTGAATGAGTATTTGAGAAGTTTGCAAGCCGGTCTGCTGGCTCACAGCATGTTAATACATTTATATGCAATCTGATCTATGCCCAAATCCTCAAACAGCAAGTTACAAACTAGTTTAGACAAGTTGCCTATTCTGTCCTGGAGATGTGCCTTACCAGGACCACAGATAATCAAGCAGAATTTGCAGACACATGCAAAAGCAAGACTGCACACATTTTGTGGAACCCTACAACTTTTGTGAACTGCTGAGTATGCAGGATTTGAGACACTTAATTATATTCATGTACTAGTAAAAGTCTCTTCAGCTAATGCAATTAATTAGCAGTGCCTTTATGCTGTACCTTTTGCTCTCTATGTATTTAATGCACAGTAAGTATCATCTTCTGATGATCATATTCTGCTTGCAG